GTATGAAATTGCTGTAGGCATTGCTCAAGGACTGGAATACTTACATAAAGGTTGTAACACAAGGATTTTGCACTTTGACATTAAACCCCACAATATCCTTTTGGACAAGAACTTTTGTCCAAAGATCTCTGATTTTGGTCTTTCTAAATTATGTGAAACAAGAGAAAGTATTGTTTCAATGATGGGGACCAGAGGAACTTTAGGATATATTGCTCCAGAGGTATTTAATCGAAACTTTGGAGGAGTTTCTTACAAGTCTGATGTCTATAGTTATGGGATGATGGTGCTGGAAATGATTGGGGGAAGAAAGAATGTTAATGCAGAAGCGTCTCATCCTAGTGAGATATATTTTCCCTCATGGATTTATAGGCAGATTGAGAAAGCAGAAAAGTTGAATCTTGACAGAGTCATCGATGATGGAGAAGAAGAAGAAATGACAAGGAAGATGGTAATAGTGAGCCTTTGGTGCATCCAAACAATTCCATCAAAGAGACCATCAATGACTAAGGTGCTTGAGATGTTACAAGGAAGCCTTGAAGCTTTGCCACTTCCACCGGAACCCTTGTTGTCTTCTCCAGGACCTGCAGTAAGATCACCAAAAAACTCCTCCACCACATCACCAGTCACAATGCAGGTTAGACCATACTCAGCAACCATATGCAACAATCTGAAACTATTTATATGATTTAGCTCCATGCATCAAAATATTTTGGATGAACAATTTGTTTTCAATTTCCTTACCGAGTTCCTCAAAAATTTCAGGGTATTTCCGAGCACCCTTAAGAACGTTGCTCTAGTTCCTGGTTGGATGCTCACATGTAGTCGCTAGCAACAGTAGAATTTTGCACATCAATATTATCTACCTGATGAGGTTTTGTTATGAGAGATCTAAAAGAGATCTGATACACGAATTCATGCTAAATGAAACTGTGTCATTTATCATCAAGGACTATGATGGAAGAGTGAATGACTTGGATGCTCTACAGCTAATAGTATAGTTATGTTATATTGTATTAGTTGAAGTCATGTGATATAATTTATCTTTTTGGATTTTGGTAGATAGGGGTCAGAACCACTTAAGTTTATACATTATAAGAAGCAAAAGCTCCAATAGCAGTAGAAAGATATCGGATGAAGACGCATGTTTGTCTTCTATGTTTTCCCTCAATTCCTTCTCTGTTTTCTTCTTCCTGTTGACCTCACCGTGCTTATGTTCTTCTGATCTCCATCAAACTAGAATACTTAGACCAAGCACCAAGTTTGTAATATAAGGTTTTACACTTCTACATAATAAAACCCCACATAATCTTTTAATACTGCCCTTTTCCCAAGATTGCTGATTTTAGCTTTGCAAAATCATGCAAAACAAAGGAAAGCACTGTTTCAATGACAGGAGCTAGCGGAACAGGGGAACCGTGGGATATATTGCCACAGAGGTATTTTGTCGAAATTGTAAAAAAAAAATTGTTTGGTTTAAGCAAGTTATTCTTGCAGGGGCTTAGTACCTTGAGTAACAGATTCCAGTCGAAGACACCTGAGAAACCAAGCTACAGACATAAAGACTTACATGCAAAGATCCCCAAAACTCAGCTGAGATCTAGATGCAAGTCTAACCAACATAAATCAGGGAGCATTCAAGTTTCAGGGAAAACACACTGGCGGACAGTCACATTTCTTTCCCATATGAATCATCAACAGGGTCCCGAAGGGTTCCAAGCATCCAGTCCATCCAGATAGTATAGTGGCCGTAATTATGACGGTATGTAGTGTGGTGAATTGTATGGTAACCAGCACCCATAACTGGCCATATCTTGGCATGGATGCAATCATGAATGTTAGCCGTCCATATGGCCTCAAAGAATAAGAGTGCAATGTGAGATCTAAAATGTGTTGGCACGACGAATAGTGCTATGACATGTGGTACCGCCTGTAGTATTCCATCCAAGGGGTGAAATGCCAAACCTGAAATCAAACAGGTTGCTTTCAAATCACCGTTAATTTAGTTTAGCTATGTGTTTATAAGAAAAAAAAAATATAAAAATATGTTTAAAGCAGACATATAATGTAGATTATTAGAATGAAAATGATTTTATATCTTTGCAACTGCAATTAATTTGGAACAAATAAATCAGTTCAAAAGAAAGAAACTAATATGCGGGCGGTGCATTTGTCACTAGATTACCTCACAAGCATACACACAAATGGAGATGCTCCATTAAGCACTACGACTGTAACTTGCGAATAAACCTTAGAAAAAGGGGAAGAGCTTTCTAAATGAAAAAAGTAAGAAACCAATCATAATTGGGGAATTTGAACTATAAATACTAACAGTGAGCATATATCTACAGAGATTGGATTGGAATACTCTAGCAGGGAATGACGGTTTGAGACAGACTACGATTTCTTTGATTCATGATTTGTACCCAAAGTTTTTCAATTTAGGTGTGCTTGCAAAAAGTTAGTCATTCACCATTAAAAGAATAGTCAAAACTAACCAAATAAAGAGGACTTGAAATACATATGATGGGCTTCAATGAGGGACAATCTAAGACAATTTGGTCAATGAACAGGTGATAAAGTATAGGACACTCAGCCTAGTCATGGTTCTTGACATAAGCTAAATGTGACATAAAACATCTTGTGATTATCACGTTTCTGACCTCATCCCCAAGGAAAAATGCTAATCTTTTTCAATCCACATGAGTTCGGATAACCATTCAAGAAACTCATATGGAGTTTGAACCATCTAAACATGCACAAGAATGTTTCATGCTTAAGCTTAACTAAGCCATGCTGCAGCTAGGAGGCAGCATTAGTTGCAAACAGAAACATACTTAATGTGAAGAATCTCATGAGAGTTGAGAAAGTTCATAGTTAAATGCATGTCATATTTAAAATATTGTCTACATAGGTAATCTTGAACGCACATGGACTAGTAGATCATAATTAATGAGACTCCTTAAGAAATAACTGGTGGCCCTATATCTTAAATTTTAGGAAAGTTAGGTGTCCCATCCTTTTGGTTATATACTGATCAATTTGTCTGGAACTCTATAGAAGAAGCATACAGTTATAGCAAAGACAAAGGGAGTTATTTATATATGGTTTTTGCTTTCATCCAAATAAAAGAACAAGTTGGAATGGAAACTAGTAGATAAAATGTGCAATATGAATTTGAGTAAGCATAATCACCAAAATTACCCAAAAAGGAAAATGTTAGGTGAAATATCAATGACAGCAGGTTACATATTCATTAGCTGAAAGGCAAGGTACAAAGTAGTACTGCTAATATTTAGAGCCAAGTTTAAGATTGACACCGTTTAATGCAAAACATATAAAAAAAGTACATCTAGAACTAGAGACAACCTTAGATTATGAGACTCTTTTAGTTGGAATTGTCACTTGAATGTATTCTTTCCACTCCAAGCTAATAAAAGATGATTCGTGCATGAAAATTTTCCATTAATTTCTAGAGAACATCTTAATAGAGGTCTGAAACAGCTACAACTTATCAAGCAAATCAAAAAGAAAATTTCAACTTGGGCAGTAACATATAAAAGCATCAAAATTGCAGTGAGTTGAGCAAGAACTTACCAGCAAATGGAGAAAGAGTATTCTGCTTGTTGTAGACGTGATGGGTTGCATGTAGATACTTGTACAAAGGCTTTATGTCATGCAGTTCTCGGTGCACCCAGTAAATCCCAAACTCACAAATAACAAGATAAGCAGCTAATTGCACTAAATAGAGCGGCAAACCGAAATCACTTATAGTAGAGTAACACTTTGTCCACCCACTTTCAATCATGTACTCAGAGAGAGTTGGAAGAGCAGAGTACCATGGCATCGCCTTCATTGCAACATAAATTTGTAAGAGAATAGCTTTTTTTGTCGGAATTGCATCTACATAGAGATCATTTTAGAGATTAAACTATGGCATCATCTAAATTATCTCCAAGAAAATTCAAGAAAAACAAAATTAAACAGTACTCTTTTTTTTTGGAGAATTCAAATTAAAAACAGTAATCTAATCTTCATGGAAATCAAAACCAAGAGAAATAAAAATCAATAAAATAAAACAATTACGCAAAAAATAAAAAATCAACTAAAAGATTAACCAAATTCAGAATCAATTTCTATTGACAAAATATATTTTGTATCAGTTTCCGAAGTCCAAGATCATCATCCTTCAAACAAGTAAAAGAATCAGACGGACAGAATTACATGTATCAGATCGCATACCTTTGGGCACATAAACGTTGCGCTTCCAGTAGTAAATGTAGATGCACCAGAGGAGGCCGGAGATGAAGTAAAGCAAGGTTGCGGCGATGTAATTGCGGAGCCAGGTCTGCAAGACGTGAGGGAGAGGTTGCCACCATGCCGACGGCAGGAGATGTCCCAAGACAATGCGGTTATAGAATGACGTATCGTCCAAAAACGCCTGCAGGTGCTGCTCCGCCATCAGTCCGTCCGTCAGTCAGTCAGAAAGTCAGCGGCGATCGGTGGTCCCCGGAGAGAGAGAGGGAGTGAAGAGAGGTGGAAAAATGCGTATTACCGTGTGGAACAAATTTATTTGGTGGTCTAAGAACCAACCAGTTGGATTTGGGTTGGGACCTGAACTGGACCATCTTATGCCACTTCGCTAGTGTTTGGGCTGTGGTACCGGTCCATTGCGGCTGCTGCAGACCTTTTGTCAATTTTATTTTGGGTTTTCAGTTTTTCTAATTTATCGCTTGGTGAACCTATTAAAATTATGTGTTTTTATCGTAAAATAAATTTAACTAAATAATTAATAAATTAAAAGAAGATTTAATATTTTTTAATATAAATTTACAACAAAAAAAATATACATATTACATTCTTAATTGTATTTATAAAAAAAAAAACCTTTGTTTAATATTTTATTATTTTTACATATTATTATTTCGTTAAAATTTTTTCTTTTTTAAAAAAATTGTTTTTTTATTCTTTTAATTGACATAATTTTTTTTTAATTTAAACTATATTAAATTAAATTATACAATACTAACCATCAAATTAAAAAATCCATCAATATTAAAGTGTCCTTCTTTTATAGTATTTTTACTTTTTCTATTTAGCCTTTATAATAAGAATATAGCTGGAATTGTATTCATTTTGATTTTTTTAAAAATAAAACTATATTTTTCTATAAAAAAAAATAATTTAAATTTTAGTACAATATTTTCAACAAATAGTTTCATAAGAAAAAGTATTTCCAACAAACGGAATTCAGGGATCAAAACCAAGAACTAAAGGAGCAACCCTTAGCAAAGGCTCCAAAGCATTAGGATGGAATTTTCTAGCGAAGAGGAAGCACATGTTAGTAGTATTTCCATTGTAAATGCATTCCGACCCAAATCTACTTTGATTCAGTAGCTCATCCGAGATGTCACCCCCAACAAATCTCCTCGGATGGGGGCCTCCCCTCGACCAATCCACAAAAGTAATGCTCCTATTCGAATTAAGTTCCCCGTAGTGCATGTTCACCAGCGTAGGTATATAATGTTCATCATTGTAGCATGGTGGTCGGCACTTGTCTCTGAAAATTGGGTAGTACTTTGTGTCTGAAATGACTGCCATGGCAAGGTCACGGTGCAATTCAAACCATTGAGACCCTTTTCGCCAATCTGTGATGTTGATTTCAGGGGACATCTGAGGATTGTAGCGGCCGCGACCTTGCTTTCTGGGGTCGTCATATAAGCTTAAGAAGCTTTGAGATGAGTTGATGAGGTAGTTGTAGGTTGCAGTGAAGTTGAACAATGGAATGCATGATTCTGAGAGTAGAACAAATCTTTGGTTGGATTGATCAAGGAGGGCATTTGCCAGGAGACGCCTCTCAGCATCAATCATTGATGAAGTCCCCCAATAAACTGGCTGTGTCATTATTTTCATTTAGTTAATATCAATCAAAATGCATTTCTCCTCACATTCTTTAGGAAGAAATGTTGAATCATATGATTATTGGGAAGAAAGTAAAGCTAACCTGGCTTGGAATTCTTCTCCCATAGAAGGCGGAACTCTCTGGTATTTCCTCAAAATAGTCAGGATGTTGGTGAAGGTATATGGAGTAAAGGTCTTCATGTCCCTTAAGGAACTTCTCCCACAGCGTAGCAAAGGGAAGGCCTCTTACGGCCAAGAACAGAAACGCCACTTTTGGGACATGTTTTCCATGAGAGAAATCTCTAATTCCACGAACCATAGACGCCCTCCACAGCAGCTCTTGGTCTGTCATGTTGTGCATCAGAGATTTCTTTTCTTTCAATGACACACTAGTGGAATTTGAGCTTATATTTGTTTGAAAAGACAACAATAGTACAGATGGCAATTTAGCTGCATCTGGCGGTGGTGGCGGTGGTGGCGGTGGTAGGATCAGGGAAGATGGTGGTGGTACTGGAGAATCTGATGGTGGTGCTGGTGGAGAAAAAAAGTTCAGGGACAGGGAGAGCAGTAGGCTCGATGGGGAATTTTTTAGGTAAAAACTAATTATAATCCCTAAGGTGAGACCAATAACAAGGGAGAGAGCATAAATGAGAAGGGAATTAAAATTCCTAGACATTGGTTGGACAAAATAGTGCTCAATGGACATGTAATGGTTTGTAAGAAAGCAGAGGAAACAGGGGGAAAGGGAAGGAATGATTGGGGGAAATCTAGAGTTGCACCTACCATTTAAGAAACTTTTCAAGTTGGAAAATTAAGAGTTGTTAAAGCTAGCTGAAGATTGAAGTTGGGAATGATTTAAACTCAAATCATGGAACATTGCGTATCTCCTTACATTCTAGTACCTCTTTTTCAAGAACAAGAAAAACCTCGGTACGGGAATAAAGGACTAGGACGACCCTCATTATAAAAAGAACCGAAACAACAAATGTAACTGCCTAGTGTAGGCTTTACCAAGTAATTGAGAGGTCAACAATTCAAAGGGGAAAAAAGAAGGAGTTTAAGAAAATTGGTATGGACCAAACCAAGCACCAACTTACTTCACCAGATGTGATAGGACACATAATGAAGAAACTCATAAACAATGCGTTGGCTTGCAACTTTGAAAACAAATGTAGAAACATAACCCAAAGACTGAAATCACTGCTGAAATTGAGGTGAGTACCCCATTTTGCACTCATTCCTTCTTAATTTATTTGTCATGTACCTCCAACCGTGTCTGTTAAAAACTATGAATTGAAAGCTCAATACGGTGGAATTTCAGCCTCTGATCATGAGCGTGATTAACCATGCAATCTTGGTTTGGCAGGCCTTCAATATATACGACCATGTGTTAATTTATTATTAAAGACAATGTTATGCATCAATTCACTTAAATTTAAGTAAAGAATAACGGTATTCACTAATTTTTATTGACTCAAGATACCATACTTTGCCATACCAATGCCACCATGTTATAACAGACTTTTTACAGGGACACGAACCATAAAACTCTTACTTCAACTAGCCCAATAAGCAATGATTGAGGCCTGCCAGACGAGTATCCCTGTGTTTGACTTCTGAACAAATGATCAGCTTTTCAAGGATGACTGGATGAGGAAAAATAGGAATTAGAGTTGCATCCTTTGCTTAGGTTCTAATCCGTTCCAGCTTTTAGAGAGAACATGGTGGCACAGCAAGTCAGCTACTTTATTTAGAAGATTTTGAAGTCCATCTTTTAATTATTTATGAATCTTCATCTCCTTGGTTGAATGGAAACAATGAATCTTTCGCAATTGGAATTACAGCAGCGGTCTTTTTTTTTTTTTTTCCTTTTTCTTTTTTTTTTAATGTTAAAAAATAATTATATAATAGGAGATATAACTTTTCTTTTCTTTTCTTTTCTTTTCTTTTCTTTTTTAATTTTGTTCATTTATTTTAAAATTTCTAACTTAAAATATTATACTCCATTTAACACACCCTTGAAAACTCCTATCTTTCCTAGTCAATAAGAAAAACGATTTTTTTTTTTTTATGAAGAATAAGAAAATGAAATTAAAATTGAAATTTTATTTTTTTGGACCAACGGGAACGGTGAACAGTCATTTCTAATGGGCTTAAGCCCAAGTTTTTGGAGGAAATGATTGCATTGCAGTTCTTCTCTTACTCCATACGGAAACGGAAGTCTCAAACTGATTTTCACATTTTAAGCCCAACTCTTTAGATATCTCATCTGAGCCTTTTCTCCCACCTTCATTTGATGGGCCCTTCAAAAGCCAGAAAACACATCCAAAAATATATACCCAAAAAAAAAAGAAAAAAGAAATTATTTGCAGGCCAACAGCTTTTTACTCTTTTTTTTTTTTTTTTGTTCTTGCACAACGGTGGCAATTTTCTTTTATTCTTTATTTTATTTTACTCGCATATCATATGATTTAAATTTAAAATCTTTTATTTTTAATGAAAAAAGATTATCACTGAATTATTTAAATCGTTGACAATAATTTTTTATTTTGAATAATGATAAAAAGAATAAAAATCTAAGATAAATGATATGAGTTATATCAAATTATTAAATTAATTAATGTATATAATATTTTGAGTCTTAAAAAAATAAAAAAAATTAATTATTAAATAATATAAATTTTACATTTTAATATTTTAAATAACATAAGGTAAATTATGTCATTAGTTTTATATTTTAATCTTAAACTTTGGTCTTGTTTACCATTATTCTTTTATTTTATTTTTTTCAGCAATGAGGTGGTTTTTTTATGGAAAGTTGGTATAGGTGTGCTAGGAACTGACCTTCCTGGCTTGGATCACTATTTTATATACTACAAAATCACTAATGGAGAAATTATTTGTGTTATGGTATATATCTTGTATTATATCTTACACCCACTATAGAATTAGGTATTCCAATTACAATGGAAGAATCACTTTAACCAAACCGCCACTGTGCTAGGTTAATAATAGATCTAGGTTTTGCCGACATCTAGCGTAGTAATAATCTCTTTTTTGATTTTTATGTAAAAAGAAATTCTTTTAAGTCTAAGTTACATAATATATAGGTAAAATGAGATTAAAAGATGAAAAAAAATTCCTTCTTATTGTGTAATTTAAGATTAAAAAAAAAAAACACTCTTTGGGTTTTGTTATCAATTGTAGTTGGTACTAACATGGATATACATAAACACCTTTTTTTTTTTCCGTTAAATGTCAATTTTAATCTCTTAACTTTAGGATTTTACAAAATTTTCGACCTTTAATTTTTTTATACACTTTTTAATCTCTCAATCATGAAAAAAGTAATTTTTTTAATTCTTTCATAAGTCTATTAAATCTATCTAAATATATACATTTTTATTCCCAAAACTTATAGTTGAGAGATAAAAAAACATGTATATATTATAAGTTGAAGGATTAAAATATATATATATTTAGACAAATTTAACAGATTAACTAACAAAAAAATAAAAAAGCCATTTTCATAGTTGAAAAATAAAAAGATTTATAAAAAGATTAAAACCAATTAAGAGATCAAAATTAGCATTTAACTTTTTTAAAAAAAAATTGGAAACATTTCACAAAATTTCTAAACTATCTAAGAAGTTTCCCAAACCTACTCTTCTTCTTCTTTTTTTTTTCTTTTTTTTTTTTCCTTTTTGCCGACTTCTAATCTACCCTTTTGAAATTTTCAAAAGCTTGCATAAAATATGTTGAAATTAACAGCAGCTTGGGCAATGATTTGTAGTCTAACGACTGGCCAAAGCATATTCACCATTTTGATTCTTCAAAGACAAGTACGTTCCTTTCAATTTTTCAAAGATAGCTTATCTAATCTAAGCTTCTACTCCTACAAATTATTTTTCCTTTCAAAAAAAAAAGAAAAAAGAAAAAAGAAAAGAAACTACAGAAATCCAGTATTAGCCTAGCTCTCATCACATGTACTATTTTTGAGTTAAATATGCATGTGGTTCCGTGTTGTTTCACTCTGTTGGCAACCAGAAGAACCAATTGTACAATCTTTAATTTCTACATCACGTGTCTAGTTTGAACTTGATCAAACACCATACTAAAGTAATTTTAAGAAAAAAAATACTCAACTGTTATGACTAAGTCCATCTTAATTTGTCTTCAACTAACTTTATGACATCTCAAGTTTTTAGATCTTGACAGCCTACTCAGTACTAATTAAAAATTTAGATTAACATGTCATTTGACCGTTAGAAACAATTGATATTAATGTAAAATTAATTTATAATTTGATGTTTCTGCACATCTAATTGTTTTAAAAAATATTTATAAACTGATAAAATTAATAAAATCAAACAACCCTTAAGTCTTAAACTTTTGAATTTCAACATCAATGTTATCAAATTCTAATTAGGCCTTGTAGCTTGGTGCGTTTAGGTGAACCAAATATTCATTTCTTACTCTAATTTACTAGTAACTACCAATCAGTTACAGTTTGAATCAAGTATCTTGTTTATGGTAGTAATTTGTACTACATTATTTGGGTTTTCCCTAGAGATTTGGGTTATGAAATAGAACTTCTTAATTAACTAATGGTAGAAGTTAGCCTATAAATTATGCAATAAGTTATGATAACTTAGTCCTTCCAAACACCCAATTAAATGGAGTAGGTTAGAATAATCTCTCTAGAACCAATGGAATATCTAGAATAAATCATGCTTAAGTATATCAACATGACATGTTAATTTATTAATAAGAAAGAAACAAAAAGACAACTAATCTTGTACAAAATAAAAATAAACATGTTATTAGTCAAATTCTCCTAGGTAGTTAAGTGCAAGTTGAGGGTTTGTACTTTGCATTCGGTCATTTGGTGATTGAATCAATCTATCAATCTATCAATCTCTAAATCTTTATAATTAACTTCTCAATCGGTTTAGTTTAGTATTGAACAAACAAGAAGAAACATGAAACCCTCAAGAACTAATCATTCTTAAACAAGTAAACTAATTAATGTTTTATATTAAGAAAATGATTGGTAAACACTCATTTCAACCACCATTGTGCCTAATGCTCACAAGTTTTTGTTTTTTTTGGTAGAAACAAAAGTTTTTTAAGACTAATGATAACATTTAAAATTTAAGACACTCGTTTGGTTTAATCATTAAAATATAATATAAATACAATTAATTCAATTAATTCTAATTACATTTTATATGCATGATTGAATATCTAACTTTGTATGTGTTAAATTTCATATAAAAAAATAATAATTTTTTTAATAATTAGAATATATAGCAATCAATGTTTTTTATATTAATTAGCTAGCTAGTAGGAGACATTGTGTGGTACAAGAAAGAGCTAGGCTACTCAATCAACAAATTAATTAGTGGGAGAATGGAGACAAATTAAGACACCAAAATTTAATGGTATTTGTTTGAAGAGATCTAGTGGGACTTGTTCTTTTTCACATGTGTTTGACGCTAAATTAATTCTCATGCATGTGAAGGATAAGCACTACAAGACTGCAGGTCTGCATGTGCCCTTTGACAATCAGTGATAACAATCGTATGCTTTGTAATGTTCCTTTGTTCATCACGTATGTCCAAAGTTTGGTTCTGGATTTTGGGTCCTACACTAGCTTAAAATCACGTGAAGACGACTTTGAGGGTTGGACAAATACATACGAAATTAACTTGGGTTTAGAGGTTGGCAACAAACAATTGATGGGTTCTCCTTTGCCCTATGTACGTCAATCCAGTTAGACCACCTCAAGTAATTATACCGTCTCTACTAGGAACGCCGGCCCACCCCTCACTGCCAAACAAAACAAAAATCAGACAAGAACTATCATGTTGCATTTTAAGGGTGCAATTGGACTCTAGAATAAGTTAGAATTGGATATAAATATCAATGTGGAATTAGATGTTTAAATTTTCAATCCCTTGCTTGGTTTTTGATGTGATTGGATTGTATAAGCTATAATTTTTCATTCATAAAGATAAAAATACTAATATTTATTTAATTTAACTTGAAGGCCCTCAAACTTTTCAGAAATTTCTGTTTAAGATCATGAAGACTTTTTTTGTACCAACTAGGTCCTGAATGCATGTTCACCCAAAACAACTGATTAGATGTCTCCTAGGCCATAGGTAATAAAACAAGAAGGCTAATGACTTTATATTCCTATGTACAATGTACATGATGCAAGATTCATCCTATACATAAAAAAAAAAAAAAAATCTAAATAATTTAACATGGTTATTTAATTAATGCCTCTTTAACCATAAAAGAAGAGCTAGATGGCTTGGCAGCATGCAAGGAGACAAGATTAAATTTATGGTGAATATGTAGTTGATGACTCAAGTAATGCAACACTAATAGTGATGACTTTGGAGCCTTTTTACTTTAAACCCCAAATTATGGAGGTTAGTAAGATTCTTCAAGATCTTGCCCCTCTAAATTAAGCTTAGATCTCAACGTCAATCACGCTAAGATCTTTAATCTATGACATTAATTTATCATACCATTAACTAGGTAGCATCATGTATACGTTGGGCGGCGGCCCCACATTAATACCTGATATAATTCACATCTATTTCTAGTAATCCTTCTCTTTGATGTTATGAATCACGCTAGCTAAAAATGTCATTATCTAGTGAATTATTGCACCAATGATATAATGAATTTCAAGGCCCAAAATGTCATTATCTAGTGAATTTAGCACATGAATTTCCAGGCACCTCATGCAAGTTATCTTCTTTCTGGATTACTCTCCTCAATTTGTTCGTAAGTACCTTGTTTTGTTATTGAAATTATACCAAACTACAAAATAAAGACCTTAAGAGAAGGGTTACAAAACAGTTTCTTTTGTTTGTATATATAACCCAAAGGGCCCTAGAGTTTTCTTGCGCTGTTTTCTTCCTTTTCTTCGGATTTTCACAACCAACTGTTTTCTTTTCTTGTCTCCCTCTTTTCCTTGATCCCTTTCTTTATAAATAGATGCAACTCCATGTACCTTCACTACTCCTTTAATTAATTTGCATCAAACAAGTTTTTCTTTTAGCCAAACCCTTCTCTGTTTCTCTCTGTTTTTTCCCCTGTTTTTTCCCCTGTTTTCAGATTCTTCAATGGCTGAAATTGATTATCGGAGCAATAACTCCGATATGGTTACCGGTCACAGTACACCACTGAAGCTCTTTGGTTTCAGCATTATACAGGACGAAATTATGGGTAGTGATTCAGCCAAGAATTCAGCTGAATCGCCGGAGTCAGAGACCGAGGCAGCAGCACGTAAATATGAGTGTCAGTACTGTTACCGTGAATTTGCGAATTCTCAAGCTCTAGGAGGTCACCAGAACGCCCACAAGAAGGAAAGAAAGCTACTCAAACGCGCGCAACACATGCAAGCCTCTCGCGGCTTATCCTCTCCGCATATGGTTCCGAGTTCCATGATCTCTGCGTTTGCGCCACCAACGAGCCTCTTTTCTCAGGCTGTGGTCCCATCAGCACCTTGCCAGTCATCATTTTATGTCTCGCGTGGCAGCACGGGTGGTCCTTTACATCTGCTGCATGGCGGAACGTATCATTGCGGAACCGCTCCAGGAAGGCGTCTCTATGCCGGAGAAGGGGCAGAGGCCCTGGCGGGTGATATCAGGGGTCATGTAGGGCTGTTTCCGGCGGGGAAGGGGTTCGCCGGAGACGACAGTAGGCGAAAGATTGAAAAGGGGCTGGGGTTGGATTTGCATCTCAGTCTTGGGCCAGCGGTACCGTAATTAATTAGAACTCAAGGTTACAGTGGGACACTGGGACGAACCTATAGAATAGATCCATCCAAGGTCATTGGGTTTTTGGTGATACGCTAATGGCTTGTTAGGCCCACTTTGATGAGCAAAAAGCAATTAAATATATGTATTTATATTTATATTTATATGCGTATGCATTTTGCTCAGTTTGATCAAATATAGTATGTATTGAAGGTTTTCTGATTTTAATTTATTAACTGCACTTTCGGATAGATTAATTTCAACACATAGAACTTGTATGCTTCCATCATCTAAGCATGGTAAATATTGGGTTTTTTTCTTTTCTTTTCTTTTCTTTTCTTTTTTGGTAAATTTTTCTTTTTTGTGTTTGATAATGGGTTTTGTTGGTTTTAAACTCTTAGTTGTTGCAAACTTGTAATTGGGTCCCTCCATATTCCCTAATCAACTGTATATATGATGGACAATCTATATACATATATATAGTATAAAACGAAAAAACTATATTTCATGGAAAAAAGCAAATTTGGAAGTTGAAACTAACATTTTTTTTTTTTGGAATCATTTCCATCTATTCTCATGAAAATAAGTGGCATCATAACCAAAAAGTTGAAACGGGGGAGGACCTAATTGTAACAATTAAGATGTGAAGGACCTAATTGTAACAATTAAGATGTGAAGGACCTAATTGAACAATCTTAAAAGGTTTGTACATACAATCTAGCCTAAAAATCTACAGTATTCAACTAATCAATTACCGTTAGAAGTTTTACTTCCCTAACAAACAAGAGAATCCACGGGCAGGAGTGGATTGGGAAAGAACAAAAAGCCCAGACGTGCTTCACTGCCACTCCATTCTTCTCCCTGCCTCACAGCCTCTTCTCCTTTCACTGGAAGGAACCTCCTTTTGTTCTTCAAATTTAAGTACCCTATTCAAGGAAAGTTCAGCACTTTTCTTCTCTTCTGGTATGTATAATAGATACCAGTAGTCAGTCTGTTTCAGTGCTTCCCCTCCCTTCCCTCATCAGTTTTGGAAACGGATTATGTTCTGCATTTCCTTTTCCATGTTGCACAAATCTGTAATATTTTCTTATTAATTCATTTTTTATTTCAAATCCCACCTTTTTTTGGGTCTTCTGTTTGGTGGGTAATGGCTAATTCACTGCATTTTCCGCTCATTGATTTGAGTTGCTTAGTATCATTAGTTTGTGTCATCTTTGATGAGCAATTTCCTGTGGGCTTACTTTGGTTGGTTCCTAAGAGTTTATAATGGGTTCTTAACTATAATATCAACTCTATATAATACATTCCTTTTTGTGTGTAGGTCAATGTTGCATGCAGTCTCTGCTCCAAACACTTGCCTTTTCTATCCTAGAGTCCCCTGTCGTCCTTCAAGCCGTCTAATCTCACAAAGGCTCTCTGTGCACGCCTCCTTTCCAGATAACAACAATGGATTGAAAGTGGAGTACACTCCTTGGTTGATTGTTGGATTGGGTAACCCTGGAAATAAGTACCACGGCACTAGGCACAATGTAATCAACCACAGGAATTCTGCTTCTTGATAGCTCTGTGTCCTTGTCAGCATTTTCTGTCTACATTATTAACCTTTTAAATTTCTATGTGATCAGATCGGCTTTGAAATGATTGATAAAATTTCTCAAGCAGAAGGCGTTGTGTTGAATACAATACAATCAAAAGCTCTAATTGGAATAGGTAGTTGCTTTTTTGTATTTAGATTCCTTTTTTCTCTAGTACTTTCTCTTTAGTCTGTTTTAAATTTATTATCATTGGCAAAGTAGTATAGTGTAAGCAACTTTCATAATAGAAATTAATTTGACCATCTATTTTGTAATTCTCGGGTTCAATGATAAAGAAGGTAAAGATTGGAAAGAAAAATTGTAAGTCTTTTAACTTTATATGCTTGTCACATTATTTGTGATTTCCCAAAGAATGTGTCTACGAAAAATGGGAGAGGGGGGGATATGCTTATCAGTGTTGCCAAATTCATGATATTCTTGATGGTTTTGTGGTCAGAACAGGTGCCATTGGAGAGGTATCAATATTGTTGGCAAAGCCTCAGGCTTACATGAATTTCAGTGGAGAATCAGTTGGTCCTCATTTATTTTACTATCCTGCTGCTTTTTGATTGGTTCTGTTGACTGTTGCTCATGTCTATCTTGACTGTGGCCGAAGCTGAAGCATCTAACAAGGTTTTTATAATTGTGTCTCTAAGCAATTGATACTTTGATAGGCTTTTTATTGACCAAGAAATGGTTTAGCTACCTTAACCATTTCTATCTCTGACTTCTTCTCTTTTCACTATTTTTAAGTTGGGGTCTCTTGCTGCATATTATCAAGTGCCCCTGCGTCACATTTTATTGGTAGGCAGTCTTGGCACCCGTGGTATCAACAAATTGAACACCCCTGTGTATCTTTTTATAATACTTGTGGAAATGTGCTTTTTAGATTTGTCCTTCAATGCAGATATATGATGAGACGAGCTTGCCAAATGGCATTCTAAGGCTTCAACCAAAAGGAGGGCATGGCCATCACAGTGGGTATGTTGCTTTATAGATCACTTGAAAGTTAAAACAGAGCCAGTGTAAATCTCCATTTTGCACCTGCCTTTGCTTCATGAGAGTTGTAACAAACTTATTCATCATTAATGGACTTCTCAAGTGACATCATAAACAAAAAGAGGGAATTCTACCTTACAAATGAGATAGCTATTCTGAGGTGGTTGGCTGTGAAAATAGTATTTTCTTTTCCCTCTAAATCCTTTAGCATTCATTCTGTGACATAAGAAACTTATCTACCATGTGATATTTCTAAAGTTCTGTAAGCTTATTTATTGTCTTCTGTTACTCCCTTGGTTACTGCCTTTCTGGCCTTAGTGTTGATAAAACAGAATTTAACCATGTTCCTTAAGTTTTCTGGTCAAATTCTAGCATTGGACAACCCAGATTTTGTATTCTATAATATCACTCGACATTCATACCACATTAAATAATTTTCCCTTTTCTGGTGAAAAAATAAATTACTTTTGATACAATCATTAAGAAATTGCTTTTCATGTAATCATCTTCATTCTAAGAACGAAGAAACAAATAAAAATTTTTATCATCCTGCCTTAAATCAGATCTTCATCATTTTTTTGCACCCCTTTTGCGGTTTAATACATAGGAACTGCTGGAAATTTAGAAATATATCTGTGACACTTCTCTCCTAATGCAGAGTTAAGAGTGTGATGGGCCATTTGGATGGTCGTCATGAATTTCCTAGGTTTTGTATTGGTGGGTTCCTTGACCATCTTCATCATCTACTTTTTGACCGTGTTAGAATCTTGAATAGCTTTCTTCATACAGTACTTCACCATAAAATTAACAATTATATTCACTTTTGCGGGCATTGGAAATCCAGCTGGGACCATGGATATGAAAGCATGTCTTCTACAGAAGTTCAGTCCAGTAGAGCGAAATCAGGTAAAAATTAATACAAAAATCTTTTAATGTTAACGATGACTTCTGGTTGTTTTGGTGTTTCTCCAAGCACATGTTTAATACAATGAACATGTAGGACACAATAGCTATCAGTATCGATATTGAGCTGGCTTCTTCTATTTGTTATCATAATCCCCACTGAACTCAATTCAAGTTACGGTCATAAATAGATGAGATGTAGAAGGTGGTTTAGATGGATGGTTTCATCCATAAAATTGTAAGATTTTGTACTAATGAATTGATCCCACATTCCCTCTAACTCTCTATAGCCATAGGGTAACTTTGATTACCTGCTTTGGCTTGTTGGAGATTGGTTTACAGTTGATAATAATTTCTACTGTTATTTGCTATATGAACAGATTGATGCAGCATTGGAACAGGGAGTTGAAGCCATATGCACGCTAGTTCTCAATGGATTCAATCACAATATTAGTAGATTTAATTTGCTGCAGAAATACAAGTATCACAAAGTTTGATCATCCTGGACAAAGGATACGGAAACAAGGTACAACTGGACTGACCAGTGTCAATCATGGCATATAACCATACATGTAGAGAAATTTCCCGAGTGCAAAGATGAAATTCCCTGTTGCTTTCCTAACACCAACACCCATTTTTTGTCCTCAATGAACTTTTTACCTTTCAACCATCTGGTTGTTTTTATGTACATTAGTTCCTCTGTAATTTTCTGCAACAATTGTATCTAGCTTCTGTTCGTAGTCTTTTATTTTATAATTTAGATTGAAAAACAAGTATCATAGAATGGGAGCAGTCATAAATATCAGAAAATTTACCTTATTTAATGGCTGCATCAGACTGTGTTACAGTTTTTTCTCCTATTTGTTTGATTAATAAGCCCTGCAGAGTGTAAAGTCGGCCAAAAAAATTTGGAATCAACGGCTCATATAGAATCCAATGTGATCGTACCATTTTGGGTTTCTCAAAGTGGCCCCCCCTAAATAAGAACGTTGTGAAAAAGAAAACAAAAAAAAAAAAAATCTCTTCTTTGGACTTTTTCTCTCTCCTCTGTTTTTATAAGACCGTTGCAAACTCAAATGTCTTTTATTGACCTGACTGCACAAAACCCCTCCAAGAAAGAATCAACAAAATCCATTCTTTTTCTCCAGAAAACGGAGTATCAAGGTGTTTATCAATGGCGGCGACCATGGATTCTCTGCAGCCTCTCTTCCATGCCCTTGACCCCATATCACTTGTTCTTTCTCAGAACTCCGCCCCTCACCAACCGGTCCCTCTGAGAATCACAACCGACAGTTACATGATGGAGAGAGGGCCCCGGTACAGAGCCTATGCAGAGTTGAGAGAATCGAAACTCAGAATGAAGAATGCGAGGATGCAAGAAAGGGAAGAACTGGAATTGAAACAAACCCCTTCGAAGAAACAAGTCAAATTCAGCCCGAATTTGGGGAATCAAGAGAGGGAAGAACCGGAATTGAAACGAACCCCTTCGAAGAAACAAGTCAAATTCAGCCCGATTTTGGGGAATTCCCGAAAAGGGTCCTCTGTTCTTGCGCAATCGGTGCCGGATTTCTCTGCGGCTTTGAGAAAAGAGAATAGGAAACCGGCAACGGGTGCACTTGAATTGACACCGCCGACAAAGAACTGGTCAAAAGCGAGGGCAGTGTTGTCAAGTGCGAAAGGGAGCAAGTCAGCGAACGCCAGAGAGAAGGGGGGTTTGACGATGGCGAGAAAAAGTTATGCCTGTGTTGAGGAACTGAAGGGGGTCTCCTCTGCGGCGGCGAATGCCATTAATGGCGAAAACAGGGGAGGAAGGAGTACCAGAACGGGCAGAAGCAACAAGACAGTGTTGGGACATAGACAGTACTGAATTGTCCTCCGATTCCACATCAACTTCGTTTCATCTTCAAATTGTTTTTCACACCTTTTCTTGATTGTATTTGATTACTTTTCTAGAAAGATTGATGATATTATAAATTCCTTCATGATTTTTCCTATGTAAAAAGCCATGGATGTAATCTAGTTTTACGTAACTGGAGATACTATGATTTTTTTATAAAAAGCGTGTGCCTTCATCTGTAGACTGCAATGAATAATACCTTTGACAGTTTCTTCAATTTGAAAATCTATCGGACCATTGTTCCGGCAGACCTGGTCCACGAATTTGAAAGGAAAAAAAAAATTTTGAATCTTGGACTGGCTGAATCTTCAAACTCCATTATACCAACCGTCCATTTGTACAAAAAAGGAACCGACTTTCTTTGATTGGATAATGGGGAGGGACGGTCATGGTAGCTCAGCATGATTTACAAAAAACAATAAAATAAAATTGAACTTGCAAATGCCTGGCTTGAATGCAATTTTATTTCACAGAGAAACCAGTCAGCAATCCCAAAGATCAACCACGACTTCCTCAAGCAAAATTTCAAGAATGTCAAAGTCAATCTTTGTACCAGTTTCAAATGCCTCGATATCAAAATCTATCCATTTTCCCAGAGAACGACTCATCTCTGACTCAATTAACTCATCAGGGAGCTTTCCAGCAGACCGTGTCCACCTTGTAACTTCCTTTGCGACCTCTTGCATCAACATCTTTGAGTCCATGCGTAATGGCAGTCGTCTCCAAGCTCGGAATCCAAGGTTACAGTATTGACCATATCTGGAATCTAGACATTCGACTGCACAGTCTAAAAGAAATAACTTTAACTGATTATTGTCCTTGGTCGTTTCAAAACCAAGAAGGGAACAGAACCCTGTCCATATGGGCCCAGAAAGTGGTTCAATTTCCTCGTGTAGAAATGAACCTAAGAGCAAATCTTCCTTGCCATCCGAATCAAAAGGAGGCAGATTTCCAAACAACAGTTCTGCATTCAATATAACCTCTTTTATGTGGATAAGCTTGTCTCCAGATAATCTAAGACCAGCTTGGTTAATGCAACACAACGTCCTAGAAATTTTGTTTAGCAGATCAGTGACCATTTCACTAACAGCCCTCCCTTTGTCCAAGGTGGTTGGAAAATCCAGAAGATCTACATCAGGTTCTGTTGGCTGTGGATGATGATACAAGTAATCAATATAGTCAAGACACAGCCCATATCCTGGCATTGCAAGCAAACATGTGCATAAGCTACATAGGATTTCTCAATCATTTCAATGAAAGAAAAGAAAAGAAACGCACAAACAAATTGATTTGGTTCATTCCATACTCGTGCCAGAGATTCTCCACTCTGAATTATCTAATAATTTAGGACTCAATGTTCCTTCATGGAGAGAAATTAAGGGACAGTAAAGAGAGATTTGGCGAGGGGAAAAAGATAAAAGGGGGAAATTCAAATTCTTTACCTGAGCTATCATCCAGGCTGTTGGAAACACAGCTGTGATTTGAAAATGAAGCCTCAAGAACTGAACCTGGGCTAAGATGATCACCATAGCATGGAAGTCTGACTAAAGTCCCTTCTGCCTTGGCTTTGGCCTGAGGGAAAAAAGAATAAAAAGACCATAAACAATTCTTTCTCCAAGGACAACTTCACTGAATTACAGTAAATCTTCACTGGATCAGTATTAAACATTGAACAAGCATCTATGCAGAGCTGAGTTTGCACTAAGATCTCATCCATCAATCATAGAATATCAAGCCAAAGGAAAGTGGCATAAAAGAAAAACAGTGTACAGAATGGAGTACTTACTGAAAATGCAAAGTCACTAAACGTAATGAAAAAGTAAAAGAAAAAACCAACCTGGAAACCTGAATCTGGACTGGTTGGTGAAACATCCTCAGGACCAGGTTGCACTGCAGTTAAAGCAGTAATGAGCTCTTGGAGGATCATTGCGGTTGATCTCTTTGGTAGTGTGCTTCCTGTTGTCAATTCATCTTCTTCTTGAAAAGTTAACTCCTTTAATTTTTGTTCTAAAAGAACACCAAAATGATCTGCTGTCAATGGTATTTTCTTCTGTAAAACTGTCTTTCCATCTTTTTCACCTGTTATTAACTTTCTCTGGTCAGAATTACACCCAGGAATAGTGTGCTGTTGATCATTACCAGCACTCTCATTTTCTGTGAAATTCCCAATCTTTTGCCTCCTTGTGAATGAAACAAGACCAGTGTCCTTATTGCTATTGGCTCCAGTACCAGCATCCTTGCTGGCTAATCTGCTTTTGAGACATACACCGTCTATCGAGCATGCACCAAGCCCCATTCCATTTCCAGTCATTGCATTACACCTTACATTCCTCTGTTTTCCGTATGTTGAAGTCACAAAATCTGAACTATCTACTTGACCATTGACAGTTGTTCTCTTTCGAGCTGCACTTCTTAGATGTGATGAATAATCATCTTTACAGTTATAAGACCTTTTATTGGTGTTGAAAAAAGAATCATCCACTTTGGTTGCCACCCTTGGCCTAGTGTGACTTTGTAAGCTTTTGTTCAAAGCAACAAAGTTTTTGGTCCCACTAACAGTATTCACATCAGAAGAGGCCCTCTTGCCTTGAACATTACTTAATTTAGCTCCTGGTGGGATTTTATTCCTGCCCAATGACATCTTATTTGGTGTTTCTGTCTGGTGCTTCAAAGCAAAAGGATATTGTTCATCCTTTAGATGATTGCCCTCATGACTTGTTAAAGGCTGCTGAGCTTGAACCCCTCGAAATAGAGTTTTCCTATCTACATTGAATTCACTGCTGCTTTGTAGACTGTCCTCTTCTTGGGAAGCAACAAACTCCAGCCGCTCTTGACTTCTCTGAAGAGTTGCACCTCTACCTTGGTCAGCAGATGATACAATTGGCTGTGGCTTACCCTTTTGCAATTCCTGGGGGTAGGCATCAACTAAATCCAACACAAAGGGTGGATAAACATGATTCTGATCCTCCAAATCTGGTCTGGTGCTGACATCATGAAGGAAATTACCACAACTTTTGCAAGACACCTGCCCCATCGAAGACATACCTAAACTCAAATTATAACCAGATTGTTTCAATACATCTGGGGACCCAGCCCCCATTCTGTCGCTGATAACCTCAGTCTTTGAAGCATAAGGCATAGAGGTCGAGTAAGTAAGCGCACATTTTGCTTTGCTTGTAGCCTGCAATCTTGGCTCCAGAATTTTAGTAGCAGCATCAATCAACCTAGAGGCCCTAGCAGCGGAAATCCTTGGGCTTTTGACTGGAGCAGCAAGCTTTGGGCTACGATGCTTACTTGATCGTGAAAAAACACTCTTAATTTGTAATGCCTCAGCACCAAGCCTAGTGACTACACGCCTCTCATATTGTCCTCTCTTCTGTATCTTCTGTGACCTTGGTTCAACTTTCACGTTTCCTTTCTCCAATATCAAATCATCCCCTTTAAACCTGCTTGGACTATTAACCAAATTCTCATCCCTAACACCACAATTACCACCAGAAGCTTTCTTAGATTTATCTCTATGAACAGCTGGCATAGATTCAAGTCCCATCAGCCTGGCAACCAAAGTTGGGGCTCGCATCTCATGCCTTTGCTCTCTATCTCCTCCACCATTATGCTTACCATTCTTCTTCACACTTGGGAAACCCCCACTGTTCTCTTCAGCAATCTAACATTTCCATACATAAACAAAACACCATAGCAAAGTAAGATGCTAATTCAAAAAGTGACAAAATATGTGAAAAGATCAGAACTTTAAAATTCCCAGAGTGACAGAACACACCAATTGAAGTTTGGATTTGTGCATCTTCTCATCTCCTCTAAACTTCTTCGAAGATTGCCCACGAACTAACACAATGCAGCAAAAGAATCAACTTTCTCGCTCAAAATAGGATTTCTTGCAATTAAAATATATAAAAAATGCATATAGATACAGGTAATGTTCATAGAGAAAAGTAACCTGGAGGAAGTAATTTCCCAGAGAACAGCTTCGTCTTTCCAAATACTCGGTTCCAGTCAAAGAGCTGAAAGAAAATGCCCGCACACCCACCTGCTCTATGAGCCTTCTTCTCCGTAATAGCCAAACATGACGCCGTCTTCCCCCCCGTTTCACTCATTTTACCGCCCAACAACAGTACAACACCAACACTGAAATAGCAAGAATGATCCCAGAAGAAAATTCCTAAAACCCCACTAAGAAAAAGGCCGGAAAAACACTAAAATGACACTCAAATCTTTATCTTTTCAACAAAAACGCAACGTCCCAAAACCCCATATAATATCCATGAAGCAAACCCAAAAAAAGAAGCTTTATTACAATTCTAAAATGTACAACGTAGCAACATCACAACACGAATCTAAATACACCAAAACGCCGTACAATAATGCAAGACAGAGCCGCAAAACGACGGTGGAGACAGCGAAAAACCAGCAGAGAAAGTGGGAAAGGAAGAGAGATGGTTTGTAAAGGGCAGAAGGGAAAGAGAGAATCATGTGATGTGATTATGTGTGGGTTTCGTGCAGAGATCATAAAGAAATAAGAGACAGGGTCCAGGGACTGGGCAATAGCTGTGAAAAGGAGCACTATGAGAGCTGAAAGCTGCCATTCCTTAGCCCAGCGCCAGCGACGGGACAAAGTGAGCTGTTGAGGGAGAGAGGAGCAGAGGAGACAAAAGAGAATGCCCCACGCGCATTCACGCTTGTGGTCAACTGTAATTTTAAATCCCCTTTATACTCTTGGTACGTGTTTGGTAATTTTTTCGCAGCACTCTATCATTTGAGGGCATGTTTGGTTCGCCAAACCTTTCCCCCCAATTTATTTCCTTATAGCGTTATTATGTATTTCGATAAATGTGGTATAATTTGAATTGTTTTAAATTGTATAATATTAATAATTAATATGAGTTAATTTTAATATTATGGTTTTTTTATTTAATAATTTTTATTTTATAATTTGATATAATTTAAATTATAAAATATACTATTTTCATTTATTTTTAGTAATTTGAATTTGATTTTTTAATTTTTTAAGCATAAATTTTTTTTAAAAAATTTAAGATATTATATAAATAATAATTAAAAAAATTTTAATCAAATAAAAATATTTAACAAAAATTTCATGTAAAAAGAAAAGTATTTTTCATTTTGTTACTGTTTATTAAGGGTGATTCGTCATTAAGTTAACGTCACCCTTGTGGCAACAGAACAAAGAACAAGAGATTACGTTACGTGTGCATTTTGAGAACTTTCGGGGGTCAAAAAGCATCCGACACAAACCAAAAGGGCCTAATGCAAATGTACTTTTTTTGAAAAATTGGGAAATGATTGAAGGCGGAGATTGCCGAAACCCAACCAATTTCCCTGGAGAGAGAAGAGGAAAGACGCAGGCGCTCGGAGTTGGCCAATCAGGACCAAGTAATTTCTCATTTTTTTATGACAAGTAAGAAACATGTAGGAAACTACGAAAGTACGAATCAAAAATGGAAATTTGAAATTAGTTTGAAAAATTCTCTATACGCGCAATTGTCGTCTTGATTTTTCCCGTTTACACTTTACGTTCACCAGTTCGCCACCACCCCCCTCTCCAGTTTGATTTTCTTTTCTTCCTTCGCTTTTCTTTCGCTTTCTCACCTCCCAAACACCTCATAAAAGGAAGCCCCTTTTGCTCTTTTGAAGTAGGAAAAGAGAAAAATGGCTAATTGGGAGCTGAAGGGTTGCTGCAACCATAACCAAGATGTCTTTCTAATCACTATTGCTGTCTTTACTGTCGTCATCTTGGCTGTAAGTCTTGCTTATCTTTTTTAACTTGCTCATTTAACAGCTTTGTTTAGTTTTTTGGAGAAAACAAGGGAAAAGAAATCTGCAGAAAGTTGGATTAAGTTTTGCTTTTTGAAGACTGAAATTGAAAAGGGAAAACTAGGTAAGAGGAATTGACTGCGCCAGTGTCCAGACATCCTGTGTTGTAGAGAAGATCATAAATTTACTCTTATATATGCCTTTTAGCGCATTTATGAAACAGAGTTTTGGGTGTCCTAAGTTTATGGGGTTGGGGTAGATACAAAGAAAGATTAAGTTTTTATTTGGGTACATGGATTTAGTTGACTAAATCTAATCTTGGTTATCTTCTTATGGGAAAAAATCAGGAAAAAAAAATGGTGCTAATTAGCATTAGACTCATGAATGTGGTTAAAGGATAAAACTTAATGAAGACACAGCAACCCAGATGGAGGGCCATTGTGTTCATTTCAAGATTGGGGATTTGATATTGCCTAATGTATTGTGGTCGATCCCTTTGATGGGAAAGATTGGGTATCCTACAGCTTTATTGGACTATCTTCAAAATCATTTCTTGTTTTAGCTGGTTAAGAGTTATCCTTAATTGGGAAAACTTTTTTATTATAATTTTTTAAGCAGGATCAGTTTGTTTATCCTGACATTGAATTTTATGCCTTTCTTAATTTATTGATTTGAACTTTGAAGTAAAATTTGTTTTATATGATTGTTATAGTTATGGAGGACAATACTTCTAATGCCTTTTAAGCTCATCACAGTATTCTTGCACGAAGCAAGCCATGCAATCGCTTGTAAACTTACATGTGGTGATGTAAGTAGCTCTTTCCCCATCATCCACCATATGTATTGTTAAGACATATTTTCATTGTTGCTGTATAGATGGTTTGGTTTATTAACATTTTGTCTGCTTTATTTAAAGGACTCTCAGATGCCATTCTATTTTATTCTGCTAGATCTTGAAAATTATAAATATCAATCTTTTATTTCTAGATGGTCATAATTGGGTACATAATCTAAATGGTGAGATCTCTGAGATCCGTTTTTGATGTCAATCTTAAATTATACGAGAAGGATTTATCTAGTTGTTTTACCTTATGGCAGTATTTTGCTCCTCAAGTCTGTTATCCTTCTCTGATATGACAACAAGGCTTCTGGGTGGTTATAAAACCTCCAGGGCTACCGTACCATGATTTGTGTCTTTTAAATAGTTTCTGTTTCCCTTAACTTAGTTTAATTGGAATTTACTAGGCTACCAAGTTAAGTTGTGATTCCCTGTAGACTTCTCATTTATTTTAGCATGCCAGGTTGAAGGAATCCAGGTTCATGCAAATGAAGGTGGGTTGACACAGACACGTGGTGGTATATACTGGGTGATCTTGCCTGCTGGATGTAATACACTTTCTCCTTGAAAACTCTATTTTCTTATGAGAATACATCATCATTTCAATGATATGTTGTGTGACAAAATGCAAGTAGGGTGTATGAAATCGTGCTCGGTAGGCATTTTGTGAAAGAACTGTATGCAAAATAAAGTTTGGTTGATGTAACGTGCAACTCTCCCTGTAGTTTCCTTTTTGTCCTATCTGTCCTTTGATTGAAGCCCAAATTATTTCTATTCATAATCAATAATGAGGCAGGTCTTTGTGCCTGTATTCTGCCATTTCCTTGGCCCAGTCAACTTGCCCCTCTATAAATAATGATTTTATGTATGTTCATTCTTTAAAGCCGTTATTAGGGATATTCAAGGTTTAAACTTTGGTTTTTCTTTTTCTTCCTTTGAATTAACTTGCCCAGCTTGTTATTAGGTTTATACTTTAAGTCATTTAAACATGTAATCTTTCATTTGATTCATGTTGCTTCTCGCTGACATTCATCATGTTATGATTGCTCTGTCCAGATCTTGGCTCATCATTTTGGGGAATGGTTTTGATACTTGCATCCACAAATCTCATCACTGCAAGAATAGCTGCTGCTTGTTTTGCTCTTGCTCTGCTTATTGTTCTCTTTGTTGCTAAAAATGTAAGATACTTGTCAGCAAAATGATATTTCATATTTACATTTTTTGGTCATATGCAGATGATATTTTCTTTTAGGTTGTTTATATTTTTGAAAAAGAACCACCATACTTTTAATTTTTCCTGATATTTTTTTTTCCCATGCAATGCTGTTCAAATAGTGGACCCTTCGAGGACTCTGTGTTGGTAAGTTCACCTGCTATATTGAGCTTATTTTTGTTCTTATCCCCTCTAGTGTATACACTTATGCTTTATTGGTTTACAATCTGACTCAACAGGATTCATTATTTTCCTGGCTGTAATTTGGATTCTGCAAGAATATACGAAAGTCCGTATTCTACGTTATGTCATTCTCTTCATTGGTATATGTTTATCCTGTCATTTGCTTTCTTTTTTTCTTCAGAAAATTATTTATGTTGTTGAATCTCCTACGTGAAAGCAAGTGTAACTTTTGTCTAATTGGTGAATTTGCAGGTGTCATGAACAGTTTGTTTTCAGTTTATGGTTTGTATTTCCTCTCTTCTTTTCTCTTTATAATTTATATTTTTTCCCTTTTTCAATATCATGTTAAATGGTTGTTATTAGAATTATGAATTGGATGTGTCATGTAACATCAATATAATCGATGCAGACATTTATGATGATCTGATATCTCGACGAGTCAACTCCAGTGATGCTGAGAAGTTTGCAGAACTTTGCCCTTGTTGCAATGGGGTTGGATGGGGAGTTATATGGTGAGGGTTTTGGCCTTGGCATAAGCATGCGTAGTTTTACAGGGGGAACCAATGGCATGATAGTTAAATATAAGCAAATTACACTTTCAAAAAGCACAACAAAATGAAAAAGAATATGAGCAAATTACCTGTTTATGATGTGCTAAGGTATAAATATTCCACGATTCTATACTTCAAGCTGCTTGCTTATCATTTTAAATGCCACTTGCAGGGGAATGATATCCTTTATATTTCTTTGTGGAGCCATGTATCTTGGGCTTGTCATCTTATCTTGAGGTACAACCTGCTTCCACAATGCATTCATTATTGTTACTGGAACTGGAGATTGAATTATTTTTCCTTGTGTATATGCTAAATGACGAATATATTAATTGATTGATGTTCTTTCTTAGAAAATATAGGAAGCATAAAATTGGGCGATAATATTTGTTGTATGGACTATTCAAAGTTGAAGTGTAATGGTTGAAAAAGATTAGTTGCTATTGACTAGCACCGACTAGCATCAAACTAACTGATAACCATATAACCTGAAATCATCCTGCTCAGAAAACCTTCCTTGAGTAAATGTCTGGCTTACACCTTACTGTTTGATGAAATAATGATTCACATTTAAGAATAATATAAGGGCAAGTTCTGAAGTCAGCATATTCAAGTCTGAGCTTATTCAATGGGCATTTCACAGGACATTCATTGTTTTCACTTTTCATAATTGCGTTTTTTTCATGTTTCATCTCAGGGTCCTGGATTCGGTTCAGATTCATCTGGTTTTCACAGAGAGCTGTCAGATTCTTTTGTATATTCTTGATGATGAGTAGCATACTATATATCAGAACATTGTCATTTGATTCATGTCACTGCTTGTGTTCTGCTGCCCTGGCAGCCTGCTTGATTCTTTTAACTCCTTTCATTTGGGGTTACATCTCATTTACAATTACATGTAAAATTGAAACTGATGTATTCTGCTTGTGATTGAGATTTAACAGCAACTCAAATTTATTTTGACGTGGTTTCATATCATTGACTCTAATACTAAACTGCTTGCAATGTCTACATGATGATGCGTGGAACGTAGATTCAAGTCACTTTTCATTTTCAATACAAGAAATTTCTCTACTACATAGAGTCCTGAGAATTATCAGAAACACACTGGAGCTAAATTCTAGGGGGGAAATGTCAATGAAAGATCATAGTAAATAACAATTGGCCTGATCCTATCTTGAAAGGTCAGGGAATGTGATGTATTGCTGCTGATATCAGATGGAACAAGATTCAGTAGGATGGAAAATCAACCTGTAATTATTCCATTTTTCTTTTAATCTTTGCATATCTTTTAAATAATATATTAAGCACTTGATTCTTCAAGTTCTCATGACAAAACTCTTGTATTCCTCCATTCATACAAAACTTGTCGTGGCTACTCACTACCACACTAGGAATATCAGACAAGAACTTCCATGGGAGACAGAGAAGTCAAGTTCACGTTCAGTGAAAATTTTAGCCATATATTTTAATGGAAATATCAAAATTTGAAATTCCAATGCAGAAAAAAAAAAAAAGAAAAAAAAGAAGAAGAAGAAATACAATCAAAAAAGTGTTTTATAGTCCAAATTATTCTGGACTAAAAAACAGTCATCACGAACGCTTTGATAAATTGCCTCCATGCATCAATAATAAAAAGGAAATGAGGGTCATGCTAATTAACATTGTTTCCTGCATGCAGCATGCAGGAAGTCCGATTAAGAGTACCAAGAAATTCTCCAACTCCAAGATTTGTTTGCAGCTAGAAGCTAAGCACAAATAATGTCAAATTAATTAATATACCCTCCATGTTCTACTAAAATCAGCAAAATGACCTAAATTAAAATCTTTACTAATCTAACAATTTCTTTAAAACAAGATTCATGGACCCAGGACCCTTAAAAAATTAGACTTAATTCATGAGCCTTTAATTTGTGCCTCGGAAGAGAGACTTACTGGGCACAAAATTTGTAAAAGCTTTTTTCATTGGAATGCAAATCAAGTGAGGAAGCATCAACTTAATTGTGAAGGACAAGAGAAGACCTTAGTAATCAAATCTTTGTTTTGGTAAAAGCTATTAGTGTGAACAAATATTGAAGAGAGATTTTGAGAATTTCTTCATACTAATATCCTCTCAAACTAAGCAGCTGACTTGAGTTTAGAAACAGAAAGTGTCTGCATGTTTGTTTAGCTAAAAATGTCTACAAATTCATGAGTACACAAAAAACAAATAAATAAAACAAGAAGTAAATAGTTAAACAAAGAATATTAGTGTTTTGCAATCTTAACTATAAAACATGAGTTATCAAACAAGTGGGGTCTATTGCTACATTCAAGAGTTTTCCATCCAATGACTCGTGTAGTCAAATGCAATCTATACCACACAACACATTTGTTGTTAACAAAATTTATGCAATCACCAAGCCTTAAAGTGTAAGCCTACAATCTTCCCTCAAAGACATCCAACGCTCCCACATATGAACTCAAGTTGAACATTGGAAGCCTTTGAGGGAAGTTGGAGACTTCTCCATTCATTCAAGAAAAATACCACACTATAACGTCTATATATCGATGTGTATCCCTACCAAAACACGAGGCTTCGTTGGGTTTATATAGAGACGATCACCATGCACCCAATAAGCTTAATCAAGTTACACTTTGGCCTTTGCTCAACCTATTTGGGCAAGCAAGCTCAAGCTTGGCATCTTTGGCTTAAGCCTGAATCTTTTTTGAGAATATGGGGTAACATGATGATTTGTATGAGCCAGTCTCTGCTTGAAGGGTCAAGGAATTTGTAATACACATCCTTTCCATGAAATTTCAATTTTTTTTTTTTATTTGATCGGCATCCAGGGAATTTCAATTAGCTTTGGCAGGAACTAAATTCATTATCAATTTCATATATCTACAAAATACTGACAATACATAAAATCGACTTTAACTAGAGCTTCTAAAGAATAGAGTCTAGCAAACCTAGATTGCACATTTTCTCCAATGTTGGACCTTTTGGTCCAAAACAGGTGATTTATTAAAATTGCACTTAAATGTTCCATGTAACAGTTGTACAACATTTTTCATAAAGTTGGTAAAGTCTTTTAATAGTGGTATAAAGGGCTTATGATCTGGCGAGTCCCTCCTTTCCAGCCAGAGAGGGAAGAGTTACTTTCAATTGTATAAAGGAAACAATGTGCTGAAACACTAAACGAAAAAGTGCTTAATTTACAAGTTGGATTGCACTTGTAAAGTGTAGTCTAACTTATGAATTTACTAAAATTTCTTTAATGAAATTATTTTCTATACTATTTCATTAATGGTAATTTAATAATTTCAGTACCCAAAAAGAAAACATAAACCCTGCAATCTCATCTTAATAAATAATAATTGGTTGTAGGTACACAGTATTGTTTCCAACCAAGTTACAACACCAAGCTGGAGATCTGCTTTCTCTGCACAAAGATAGCTTTAAAATAACTTTTAAAAAAAGGTTTTCAGAACAAAAATAGCACACTACCAGAAACAGATTCTTCTCTACTGCATCAAAATAGCTCCCACAAAGACCTGATATCACTTCATGGTCATACTTCTTAAATCCTGCCCCAAACAAAAGGTTCTGACTTTGGTGCCTGGAGAATTCCAGCCATTCCTTCACTGCCAAGCTTAACTGGAAACATAAGACAACCCAACTTAGCCCTTGTTCCATTATCCTGCAATAATGGTCAAACATTTGCAAAATTAGAAATGCACTCCACAATATCCCCTTTTTCTAAAGAAAATTACTTGAACAAACTTGAAATTGGTGCAGCATGGAACCTACCAAGAAGTTTGCACCGTTAATCAAAAAATAACTTAATAATAAAACTTATTTGGGAGAAAAATGGAGAATAAAACCAACGGTAAAGTACAGATCATTGCCACCAAGAACTTAACTTTATGTTGACTTAGACAACTAGCCAAGATGTTCACTTTCCCAGACAAAGTACATCACCCAACACTTCTCTAATGAGAAAATGGAGAGAGCCAGCGAGAGTGGAAGATGATTCATCATTCTTAATACCAGTTTTGACAGGCATGAAGTTTACATGCTTTGAAAATTGATAAACAAACTGAATTTCACACAGATGCTATACTTAAAAGATCTGACTAATTAGTTCAAGGTACAAAGAATGGAAAAACTTACAGATTTCTAACAGCAGACATGAATTCATGGTCACTAATTGAGACAATGCAGTCAAATATCCAAATCATCATCAGGATCCTCATCTGAATCTGGCATCTCGTCATCTGAGTCACGGTAATATATGATCTCACCCCCACCAGAGCCCTCATTTGTTTCTGAGTTTCCGGCTGAAACAGAGGTTGTCTCATGTTTGCCTTCCATGAGAGAGTTTCGGCCATCATAAATTTGTATGGGTTTACCATTACCTAAAGCAACCAATGTAATAATAATAATTATAATAATAATAAATGGGGGAGTTACAAATAACAACAAAAATATGAAAGAATGCAAGAAATGGACCAAAAAGAATGCAAATAAAAACTCAAATTCAATCAAATTATTGTAGTACTTTACTCCTTTACCTTGATGCTCAAAAGGAAGAACAACATTAGACCTATCAATTTGCTCCTTCTCTGACAACTGTAGGCTGAACTGAACCTATACCAAAGGAGGATAAAAAAAAAAAAAATCCAATTGAGTAGACTATAGACATGAATCTGGGTAATAAAATAATGCACGCAGACTAGCAGTAAGTGTGTAGCAAGGGAGAGGAAGAGAGAGATTTGTCATTAAGCTACATTAACTGACCTTTGGCAAAAGACCTTGATTAGTTACTTCTTCAGAAGACGCAGACTTAAAGCTGATGCCTGACTGCTCTATGTGAAATTCTTCCAACTAAATAGAGGTTAAAAACTATAATATCAATTAGTTGTTCTATTAGTTAGTACAAAAGCTTCCATACAGAGAGGGAGGGAGGGAGGGAGGGAGCGAGGGGGGGAAGTACCATCACTCGAACACGTCCATTTCTCCGTTTAAATCGGACATGAAACTTTCCTTTCTTCAAGTTCTGCTCAGTTAAAGAGGCCTTGTCTGAATCATCTCTTTGACCATTTGTTAACTGTTGCAATGGTTCTACACTAGCTACCATAGAGGACATATATTCCAGAGAAGCTGTAACCCTCACTTCATGAAGGTCTGAATGTAGTAACCAAAAGACATTAGAAACTTGACCTGCAACCATAATACAGCACTAAGATAAAAAGCACCCAGAAGCATGATATAAGCCATAAATTTCAGAAAATTTCTATAAAAAAAATACCAATGGCCAGGAAATATGTTATGATTTCATATGACAAAACAACTTTAAGGAGGTAGATCAAGATGTAACAGCAAGTTCATAATACCATGGCTGCGCAGATTGCTAAACAGGCCTGCAACTGATGACATAGATGCATGTCTAAGCATTTGATCTACCTGACAATTAGAAAGGAATCTGTTAAAAGCACAGGGAAACCCAACAGAATGGAAGGAAAAATAAAGATTATATCCTGCATGTCTAAAGGGAGAGAAAAAAGGTACTTCTTTTTCAATCCTGTTAGGTACAAGAGTACAATTTTGGAAAAGAGTGTCGGAGATGTTTCCAGAAAACATGCAAACATGATGGGAGTCTTTCATATGAATCTTGTCCACTCATTTCGTAAGGTATTTAGACAAAGATACTAAATGTTTTTCTGATAAAGCTCTTCATATAAAGCAAGAAAATGGATTTTCTAATTCTCTTCTTTCCTTTGGCCATCCTTTGTTGTTTGTAGGCAGAACATCAGGAGGCAAATTTAGAAGTTTCCTTGCACCTTCTAAGCAATATAAATGACTCTTCTCATCTAGAAGATTCACAATACACAACAAAGATTCCCTGTTTCCAGAATTTCTTGTACATGTTTCATTTTTAATGAGATGTTTCCATACATCACACCAAGAAGACTCATTCAGAGAATTCATACTAAGATCACAATTGCTTTACCATAGTCCTGGACCACATAGATAACAATGTGACTCAAGATCCAAGATGTATTTCAATTTTCAAGAGTAGCATTAATTCCCTTTAGCCATATGTATAAAACAAACTTACCGAATCTATGGCTACAGAAAAACGACTTTTTGCCTCTGCCACCAAACCTACAGAAATCAGAATTGCTTCAAATATGCTCTCATCTTCCATTGTCAACCATCTAGAAGGTAAAAAATTTTTAAAAATTACCTTTCCCTAGTTCAATAATTGAAGAGTACAATTTATTCGTATCTTTTACATCCTTACAAAGAATGCCAGTACTTGAAGCTTCACAGGAAAGATCCCTAAGGTTTCCAACACCCATTAACCGAAACTTCCACCCTAGAGGATCGGTATAACAATCCAAAATTCGAACCCTGCTATGGATTATTGAAGTAATACATATCAAGCTTCAACTTATCAGACATTAACGCATTTCCAATTTCCAGCAATCAAAAGGAATGAAATCAATTTAATCGATCCAACAAATTCCTAAAAAGAAACAAAATTTTTGTAGCTTAAAGAGAATGTAGTGAGATAAGTGAAAAAAGAATTACCATTTATTAGAGGAATTCACATCGATCCCTTTACTCTTCAGCAAATCTGCATAAAACGACGGGCTTCTGCAAAATGCAACAAGCACAAGTCCTCTGCAACAAAATTTATTAAAAAAAGGAAAATTAATGAACTTGGAAGTGGAAAGGTAGTATCAGAAAGTGTATTTGGCGTCGGAGGATGGGCGCCGAACCGTGACTGTGATTTTCCCGCCAAAATGAAGGAGGAAAGCTGAGTGAGGACGTGACAGAAGACGTCGAAGCCGAAGGGAGAAGCAATGGAGTCCTTTATGGTGAGAGCAGGTGCGTGCTCTCCTTCTAAGCCTCCGTCCCTGAGCGTCCGGCATACCGATTCCGCCATTGTCGCTGCTTGGTGGTGGTGACTTTGGGGGCCAAGAGCTAGGGCAAAATGCCGAGGAGTTTTGAAATTTTTATTGAGGCCCTAAGAATTCTCCATTAACTCCTGAAGGACCTTCAATTTTAAGTTTATCTTTTTACTCCTTTTGGGAAACAAACAGATTGATCCTCAAATTTTCCTTTCTTTTGATGAAGATCCTCAAATTTGCTTTAGGGCCTGTTTGGTACAGC